TTTATATCTTATTGCAGCTTTAGCTAAATTAGTTAATTCTGTGTAATTTCTTTCACTAAGTGTTTGGTCCTAAACTTAAAGGTTCAGCATTAAAACTACTAATCGAATTGACTTCTGATGTTTTTTGAAGATTTTTTTGCCTAATTAGCTTTCTATTAGCCTCATTTTCCTCTCTAATATACTTTTTGGCATTTCTTGTGGCCTTGTTTCTTAGTCTTGCTCCACATTGCCTAACTGCCAACATTCTTTTTGGTCCTATCTTGCATCTTTGGTCCTTTAAATATTCTCTTTCCAGAACAGGGACCTAAATAAGTCAAATATTCTAAATTTGAAAGTATTTAAATTTAAAGTGAATAGAATGAATTAATGATCAAATGATTAGTGATCAATAATCATTTTAACATAACTTCATAAAAGAGCAGCAATTTCTAAAATGACTTAAGGCTATTTTATTTTCCCTAACCTTACATATTTATGAATTTTAACTGTAAATGCCTATTAATATTAATACAAAAATGGCATGAATTACCTTTCTACTTTCCTCACAGAGACAAACTATGTGTTTCATTGTGCAATTACTTTTCCGACATCCAATTCGTCGGATGTCGGAAAAGTAATTGCAAAATGAAACACATAGTTTGTATATTATTTTACTATAAAATCCAAACAATATAAAAACCATTTATTGCATAGGCTTACATCCGTTAGTTTACGGTTGTAGGTCTTACTTTAATACCTTAGTAGAAGGCAGAGGGATGGGGTAGTAAATTTTCATCTACCTTTACAAAATATTTTTCACGTAACATTAAAAAAAAGTTATAATAAAAAACTTATTTATTTACCTATCATTACAATTATCAATAATTGGAAGATCGCACCGGCAAGCAGACACATCAAACAACGTTTCCAGTTTTTTTTTCTAGCCAGCTTATACCAGACTTAAGGTTTTTAGATTGAATTTGTTTTGCAAACAACACTTTTAGAAATGTTCTCGATATTTTATTTTTCAATGGTTTATCTTTTATCAGAGGTAGATTTGGATTGACCCTACACCAAAACTGTTGCAAGTCACTATTGACTTTTGTCACGATTGATTCAGAGTCAATAATTCTTTCTCAACCTTGTAACCGTATTGAATGACCTGTTTCTAAGTTGGTAAATCGCTTACGGGTAAATCAGAGGCTTTTCAAGCAAATCTTCCACTATTAATACGAGTTTTATTTAAAACTTTCACAGCTCATCTAAGTTTTTTTGAGCTCATGCTGATATGACAATATGAATTTATTATATAATTCAAAAATAAAAGAAGAAACTATTTTTCAATTTAGGTTTGTAAATGAAATATGTTTTAAACTATTTGTTAAAAAACAATTAGCTTACGTTTTAGTATTGTATTTTGGTATTGGTCTTGAAGCTTAAAGTCTTGGTCTTAGTCTTGGTCTTGAAAGGTAAGAGTATTGGTCTTGGTCTTGGTCTCGGACGACTAATGTCTTTTTCTGTCGTGATTCTTACGAAAAATATTAACTCAATGAATGAATTAGTTATTAATGACAAACCGTAGATTGCCACAACTTGCCGTTCTTAACGAGTTTTCGTAGCGTTGGCTTGACAAGTTTCGCGTTGGTTTGACTAAAATTTTTTATTTTAAGAGAATTTAAAAAAAATCTTTTAATTTTTTTTTTGCAAGACCATAACAGGTATACTGTCTAGACCACAAGCTGTAGAAGTGTCTAAGGAGGAAATTAATTTAGAGACAGAAGCTGGAGTGATACTCATTAAGAGGTAATAGAATGAGTTGTCAAGTCATAAAAATAGTTGTTGATAGAATTGGTCTTTCTGAAAGCTACGACAGAGTTCGGAAAGCCTGACTAACATTTGACCTTAGAAACATAAAACTGAGTTCTATAGCTGTACCCTTATTAATAGATTATAGAATGAGTTGTCTAGTCTTAAAAACAAAAACACTAGCAAAACCCATGTAATTAGTTAAGAAGATCCAGTATTCAATATTCTATACTGGAAACAATGCATTATAAACACATTTACGCCAACCTCATAAATAAAAAAGGGGTACAAAGCTGATCAACAGATAGAATCTGTTTATCACTTACATGTCTGAGCTTGAGTTTTAATGTGTTGGACTTCTTAGAACCTCAGCCTTGATCCTGGTCTTGTAAAAACTTTTAAAGTCTTGGTCTAGGCCCAAATGACTTGCTCCTGGCTTTTACTGTCTTAACTACATCTCTGCGATAAAGTAGAATAAACATTAACTTACTTTGAAAAAATAATCTGGTTGCATTTCTCGGTTAAACATGAACAACACTAATGTGTAGCCAGTTACACGATGTAAGTTAAGATATTTGTAAACATTTTTTCAAACATTAGAGATAAACTCACAGGTAATTCAATATTTTAGGTTTAAAGTTTTTCTATAGCAAAGCTTGCCGAGGTTTGATAAATTTAATAATAAACTTTCTATAAACAAGTGTTCTGTTGAACTAATCAACTAATTTTTACCAGCTTTACCTAAACCTTTAAAAGATACCTTACGAAAGAAATCATTTTTTTCTTTAAAACTCATGTCTTAATTCTGTTAAAACATTTTTAGAAGAACTTAAACTGTCTTTTGAAACGCAAAAAAAAAAAAGTAAAAAATATAGATTTATAATAGCTATGATTTCGCACAATTTTTATTAAATCATAAAAAATCTATTTTTTTAATTTTTTAGTAAAACTGAAAAAATTCTCTCCAATCAAATAAAAATATCTAAAGTTGCTCCAATGGGCACAGAAAGTTCTTTAAACGACTTAATTTGTCTGTACCTGCTAGTACATCTCTCTTTTTTTGAAGGGATATGACTGTTGTAAAACTATTATATCATTTTTATTTTTTCTAAACTTTTAGAAACAATTTATTATTTAAATTTATTTTTTTTATACTTTTTGAACAATTTATTACATGGTGAATAGAAGGGGAGAACAGACTAGTTGCCTCTGTTTTTACTCTTTAAGCTCTCTAGCCCTAATGGAAACTATTTTTGTAAGTATTAAAGCCTTGATTAATATGAATTTAGGTAATATTTTAAACTTGCATTTAAAATAAGAAAAATTTTCTTGAGGTTTTTTGTTGCCTCAAAAAAAACAACGTTTGCTACTATAAGCTGTTAATAAACAGGTTATGGTATATTAGGGTAATATGAGCACCTTAGGCAAAAACGGAATATTTTCAAAAATAATTATCCTGGATCCAAAAATTTTGCGAGTAAACAATTTTTAGGGATAACCTAATAATCCACTTAGATATTCGGGCGCCCGAAATTTTTCTTAAAACATAGAGGTTTAAAAAAGTTGCAAAAGTACTCATATTACCCAGTACACTTGCTAATATGAGGACTTTAAATTAGTTCAAAGAAATTAATTAAGGAAAAAAATACCAACCTGACAATTATTACTAATTTTTGGAATATAATGATTCTTTATTAACAAAACTCATCGCTAAAAGATAACATTTTAAGCCACTTTATGTTAAAACACTAGGTTTTCCGTAAAAATATTATTTTTTTATTATTTCAATTTTATTAACACAAAACCTTAGAACGATAAAAATCTATATCTTTGAATTTAAATTGCAGAAAAATATTTAGTATTGTTAAAATATTAAAATTTTTTACTATGTTTTGCATTTATTTAAAAAGCAATTAAAACGACTCTTATTTTAGAACTTTATACTAGGTAATTTCAAAAAAAAAAACACTGGATAATTTGTCATGTTACACAAAAATGACATCTTTAGATAAAGTTAAAACTAAATGTTTTTCATTGCTTTTCAAACAAGAATGGATCGGATATTTAGCTGATATATTTTATTTTTTATAAACAAATAAATTTTTTTACTTTAGAACCAAAATTTCGCGCCACAGATTTATTTATTTGTGACTATATTATTTTAACAACGCAAAAAATTTAACAGCGTTTTAATTAGATATTAGCCGCTAATAATTGTGACTAGAATCTTTGCAAAGACCTTTGTTTCATACTTTTTTTATTGCAAAAGTAATGTTTTTATTAACAATATATATATATATATATATATATATATATATATATATATATATATATATATATATATATATATATATATATATATATATTTATACATATAAATCTATCTCTTGTGCGCAAGCGCAAGTCCTTACAATACAATGCTATAAGATCCAAATAAGTACTAACTCTTTCTAAAAAAAGGCACTGTAGATAAACATGATTTTTCATCTTACCCCTTTGGCCAACAGGTTCCGGTAAAAAAATATTAATGCTACAGAACATGCAGTGTTTCAAATAATTGTATTGCTGGATTAGTTCGAAACTTTTATTTATTTGATTTCAATACCGTGCATTATAAACTTTTTTTGAAAAAATGAAATTAAGAAAAGATTTTAAAGCTATTAAAAAGTTTTCAAATATCAACTAAATACTCAATGTATAACTTTGCTATACCAAAAATTTTATCAAAACAAGCTGGTTTTTTGATATCTTGCAGAGGGGCGTGCCTATGGAACTTGCTTCTAACAAGTAATATAAAAAAATTTAAAACTTTCAACAAAACAACACTTGATTGATTTTGTTCCAAAACAATTACTATCCTGTTAATAAAAACTTAACCTTAGTTATTCAATGTCTTATATATTAACGCGACATCTATTTTTATTTTATATGGTTTTTATGATGTATGTATGTATGTTTGCATATGTGTGTGTGCGTCTGTGTGCGTGCGTGCGTGTGTGTGCGTGTGTGTGTGTGCGCGTGTGTGTGTGTGTGTGTGTGTGTGTGTGTGTGTGTGTGTGTGTGTGTGTGTGTGTGTAAAATAAAAGTTGAATAAAAGAGAAAATTTAAAAAAATAATAATAATTTCTTTTGGGGGGATTAGTAAATTGATTGTTGAGACAGTTTTCGCTTTAATTTCTTCTTCCTTTTTTATTTTTATCAGCTGTATTTTTTTAGTTATAATAACGCCTACGAACTACTACGAATTACTTCTAAAAAGCTAAAAAAAAAAGAAGTTTTGTCTAAAAAGAAGATCAATATTAGTTTATGAAAATATTTCTTCGGCTCTTCTCCGTATTCATGAAGAAAATAATGTTGAAGATGCACTTGATTACAAACTCTTTGTTTACCGACATTGAATAAAAAATCAAACACAACCACGGTGAAATAAAAAAAAAAAAAATACCAACAAAGTTCTAAATGCATTGTTTTGAGAATAGCTTAAACTGATATATTATACTGAAAGGGAGAATTTTTCGAGCATAATTTAAGTGTAGAGCATGATTAAGATGAGGTTAAGTTTAATTGTGGTCATAAGAATAGTGTTTGGATTGTTAATATTTTTTATTCTTTTAGTCTGCTTACTGTTACTAAACTGTCACAAATGTGCGAATAACGAAGTTAACTTTAAGTCAGATGTAAATTTCAGTAGCGAAAGTTGTGTTAACACTGTTAGAGAATATAAAGAAGAGATACAACGGCTAAACGAAAAAATAGCCGCATTAAAATTAGAATTAAATTGGCATAAAAAACTTCAGAAATATGTAGTTTCTCAAAAATCGATGCAAGGAAAAGAATCTTTGAACGAACAAACGTTCTTAAACCGGTTTACTCCGCGAACTGAGTACGAAGTTATTCCTTACACTTCGTTTACATCTCAATACATGTTTGGAGAGATTGGATTTCTTTCTAAAAAGCCTGCAGCAACGCCTATCGGTCAGCAGGCTGAGGAAGTAATTGATGTTATTGATTTTGGCATTAGATTTCTAAATTTAGACATCGAATCAAAAGCCGATCGCATGGTGATTGATAACTTTGTTGAAGGAATTACAAGAAATGATCTAGTTTACGGAACAGTTTACGATTTATACTTCCGAAGTAATCACTCTCCCGATATTTTTAAAAGATTAAAATTAGTTCGTCCGTATTCTAATCTCCAACCAGTAGATCAAATAGAGACAATAGAAACATCAAATGAGTGGATAAACCTAATATTACCGTTATCAGGGCGACTTGATAAATTTGCACTTTTCATGGAGCGGTTTGTCGACGTTTGTATTCGAAAAGATCGTCGTATTTTTTTAACAATTATTTATTTTGGAACAGAAGGTCAAAAGGAGTTAAAACAAATAATAACTAAAATTGCAAATAAAGAATCATATCAGCATTATAAAGTTATATTTCAAAATTCAGAATTTAGTCGCGGTAAAGGCCTTCAAGTTGGTGCAGAAAGCTGGAAGAAAGGAAACGTTTTAATGTTTTTTTGTGACGTAGACATTTATTTCACAAACGACTTTTTAGAAAGATGTCGTCTACATACAGGGCCTGGGTCTAAAGTTTATTATCCTATAGTATTTAGTCAGTATAATCCAGAAATTGTATATGGAGGCCAGCCACCACCACCATTGGCTGAGCAAATGATTATTACTAACGATGGAGGATTTTGGAGAGATTTCGGATTCGGTATGACATGTCAATACCGTGATGACTTTTTTAGAGTGGGAGGGTTTGACCTTTCTATAAAAGGTTGGGGAGGGGAGGATGTAATGCTTTACAAGCAGTATTTAAGAACTAAAATGACCGTTATAAGAGCTTATGATAGAAACCTTATGCATATATACCATGCAAAAAGTTGTATAAAGACGTTGTCTGATGAACAATTTATTTCATGCTTGCAAAGCAAAGCGGTGTCTGAAGGCTCACATAAACAATTAGGAATGCTGGCTTTTGGGTCAACTTTAATAAATGGAAAAGATCCAGAATGGGCACAAAAACTAAAATTGTCATTAAATGATTTGTCGAATGAAAAATAGTGCGCCGACCTAAAAAACTATCAATTACTATAAATATTAGAACTTTTTTACATGTTTTTTAATGTTAGAACTATTTTTTAAAATATTTGAAATTGTTTATAATATTACTGCATTTATAATTATTATTTAATAATTATTTTCTGCCTGCGGCCAAACTTAACAATGCAGTCTTCTTCAGTTTATACAGCAAGAATAAAACAAATAAAACGCAAATTTGTCGCCGCAAAGATCTTTCAACAAACATGTACATGTTTGTTGCAAAACATATGTTGCAACAAAAAAAAAGTATAAAAGTGTTTGCTTTTTAGTTAATAGGCCGGGTGAATAAAAAAAAAGCAATTACTTTTACTCTGCGTTTTTGGTGTAACTGTTCAGCTTTGCGTTAATAAAAATCTTAGAAAACTCCTTACAATTTTTTTTCTCGTAAAGCTAAGCAATTCACTCCAAAAACCTTGAGTAAGTGCTCAGCCTCACGTGAACAAAAGTTTGAGCAAAATTGCTAAAGAAATTATTTAAGTATAGTTGACCAATTACTAAGTAAAAGCAATTGCTTTGTTTTATTCACCCGGCCTAATAATAACTGAGGGGCGTGTACAGAAAATATTTTGAATAAGTCCACACAAAAAAATTGCTTCTCCCCCCCTTTTTTTTTTGACCCGAATTACTAAGCGTCGTACACCTACTAAAAAAGGAAATATATTGAAAACATAAAATATTTTTAAATAATTTTTACACAGTACATCATATATTTATATTTATAATTACATTTAAAAAAAAAAACTAAATGTTTAAAAAAACGGATTTTTTTTTCTTCTTTTCTGAATTTATTTAGTTTACCGTTAATAAAGAGTTGTAAACCGATAGTTTTTTTACTGAGCATTAGAGCATTTATATATATTATATCATTTTGTTATATTACAACTATAGTGAAAAAAGTTTCAGAAGATTAACCTTAGTCGGTTTTCTATACATTTCACAACTATAAAAATGAATTGAAGTATCTTATTACAGAGGTAGCAGAATATTTTTTTAATTAAAATTTGTATCAAATAAAAATTAGCTACCACTGTAATAGCATGATTCAATTCATTAATCTTTGCGAACTGAAATAAACAGGAAAAAACTATTATACGAAAATTTTTTTTGACTTTTTTTTGGTATTAAATTAATTTAATATATCATTAAGTTGATAAAATATAAGTATGACGCAAAATTTTGATTTTTATTATAAGCAATTCAAAAATTTACCTAAAACAAGTGGTTTTTAAACTCTTAAATTTCCCCTCTATAAAAAAGTAAATTTGAAAAAATAATTATTCATCTTTTTTTAATTAGAAATTACTAACCTAATTCCGTAAAAAAGTATTAAAAAGTTAAAATTGAAAAAATCTTTAAGAAATGTAAGTAAAGGCCGTTTTCCACAAGACGAAATATTCGCGGGAAGCGAATTTTTTCGCTATGACGAAACGCTGTTTTGATTTCCACTTACTTTCTTTCGCGCTACTTTTTTTTTTGTTGTCAACAATAAAAATGGCAGCAATAAGTTTGCGGTGTATGTTTAACTAAAGGCAGTTATTACTTTTTTTAGCATACTTTCTACTTTGAAACATGTTAAAATTTCCTTTCCGTGCATTAATAATAACATTTCTGTCTTTATATGTAAGATGTGATATCATTTTGTAATATAATCATTTAATATAAGGTTTTTTTTACAAGAAAGTATAAAAAAATAAATGCTAAACTCTGATATGATCATTTCTATTAAAAACTGTTATTGCAAAAACGAGCAGCAGGTTTAACTCTATGTAGGGTTTTACACAAAAAGGTTTATCTTCGTGTGGCCACTTGAAAATAAACACTCTTATGAAGTGTAACTTTCGTAATTGACAGTGTGAAAATTTATATTTGATTTAGGTTTATATATAAGTCTTGTCATTTTTTTTATATAAGCCTTGCTCCTTGTTTGATGAATTTATTCATGCTTGCCAATTTTCAGAGTAGGTTTATATAAATATATTTTAACGCTAGGTTAAGAATTTTGTTTTTTTTTTTTACTTAAAAACATTATGGTTTCGCTTTTTTTTACTGTTGACGTCACGTGATATAATATTCAAAACGTGATTGGTTTTTGCATGTGGCGATCGCCATAAGTCGAAATAAATCCGACTTTTTTTTTTCGCTGCAGCGAAACGCTGCACAGTGACTCACGACAATCAAAAAACGGCAAAAATTAAATAAAAATTGACATAAATCGTAAATAAATAATGTTATAGATTAAAATAATAATTTTTAAATCAAAGATTTCAAATTTGTTAATAATTTTTTTTTTTTGACGCGCAGCTTCGACGCGTAAAATTCGTGCTTACGCGTGTTAAAGGTATACGCGTACAAATTTTTTTTTTTTTAGTTTTTAGAATCTTCAAGACAAACACATAATTTTGATATATTACTCTACTTGATATCTTTATAAAAATGGTTTTTAATTGATGTTGATACATAGAGAAAAAATACTGTACTTTTTTACATTAAATTTATTATTTACATTACAAATAATTTAAAAACTTTATCTGGTAACGGTTTTCCTCGATAGCTCTTATGTTTTCTAAAAGATATGCTTGATATTTTTGGATCTGAACTTACTAGAAGGTAGTGCATCTGATTCATCATTGTGTTTAACCGTGATATTTTTGCCGTGTGCTCAAGTCTAGAATTTCTTATCTGTTTATTTAAACTCTCTAGTGCATCTTCCGAATATACCCCGATTGGCAAAGGTAATTTATTTGATATAGAAGAACTATGCAGTAACAGTTTATGTACAGTAGAACGCATAACATACCAGTTGTATAAACTCACTATACGTTTAGCTGTTTCAGTGCAGTATAAATTTAATTCATTGATATTAATAGGATATCCACAAGATATGGCTATGAGAATATTATGCAATATTTTAATTATATCACAATCAACTTTAAAAATTTCAGAAAATCTTCACTATTTTTAAATGCTCTTCTGGCAGTGTTGCCGTCACTCGTGTTTCCAGACCTAGTTTTAGGCATATCAACGTATAGGCTTAACCCTACTCTGAAGAGTACTTAAATCTCTTTTTTTTTTAAGTCTACAGATAGTTTTTCCTCAATTGTTTTTGGCTTATACTTTTTAATTTCAATTTTATAACTCAAATGAAGAATGAACTCCAAGCATTTTATCCACCAATGCAAAGCTGAAATTCCAAGCCCCAAGGCCGAATCATTCTCAGTTTTTGCTTTTAATAAATCAATATTGTTCATTTCCTTGGGTTTAGCATTGCACACATTGCAGGATTGAGTGGATTTTGTCTCTGTAAGTGCGCTAACTACTTTATTATCAAACATTGTAAGATCAATCCTATAGCTGATATTAAATGTCAAAATTCTTCCTGTAATATTAAAAACTTTGCAAAACGTCTTTAAGGTATTTATTTGATTTTTTAGATCTAATTCTTCTTCTCTGAATAAAATTGGACTCTCTTTTTTATATTGTAGATGAAGAGGTCTACAAAAGCGACAGCTTGAAGAATTTTTTTTTTTCCAAATTTCGCCATCCTCCACTTTGAGCAATAAAGGCACAAAAGCTGTTCTGAAAAGATTTTCTTCATGCTTAAATTCTATACTTGCGTTGCTTGTATCGTATTTCTGTTTATAAATACTTTTGCTTGATGCTCCATCAAAACCAATTTTTCCATATAAAACTCCAAATATTTCTTCACTTTGACCAAAATTAGGCATATCAATCATTTCTGTTATTCTACTCACAGTGTGATCTAACATGCTTTGAAGAGTACACTTTACAGAAATTTCAGAAAAATGTATATTCTCAGGATAGCATTTCAATTTTTCCACGAAAATGTCGTGCAAGGTAGGATAAATATGTATGTTGTGTACAAGAGCTGAGTTTCTGATCATTTGATATTGTTTATCGCTGAGATCAATATTCATTTTTAATGCAAGAGCATCCTCTACACTCATGTTAATGGGAAAGGTTTTATCCAAAGTTTCATCAACCTTATCTCTAAAATATTAGATATATTGTTTTTTAAAACAGAGTTTTTTTTTTTCTCCAGCAGCATTTGCACTTTTTGTAGCAGCTAAAAATAGAGATTCATGATTTTCAGTGGCTAGTTCTTTAACTTTTTTTCTTTTGCTTCTCTCTCCAAGAACACTCCATTGTTTATGGGGCCTTCCAGAACCAAAATGGCTATTTTTATTGTTCATAAGATTTCTTTGAAGCCAACGATTTTCTTTTTGTATAAATGTATCATAGTTTCGTCCACATTGTTTTAGTTTTTTCTTCACCTTTGAAATAAATTTGAAATAAAACTAAAGCAAGCTTAACTTATTTTTTTAAGTTTTAAGTTTTCTTTGCGAATTTTTTCAGTATTTTTTTTTTCATTAAGTAAATCCTTCCATAATTTTAATTTATCAACTTCTAATTCACGTATATTTGAGATAAGATCTAATCTTTTCATTGTTTTCGTTTTTAAGAACCATCAATATAATAAAACTAATACATTAGACACATTCTAAATTACATTACATATTTTTTTAATTTACACTGTTTCAAATTTTATTTTGTTATGACTTTTAACACAAGTTTTTTAAAACTTTATTTAATATTTATGATTTAAAAACTATATTAGAACAAGTTCTACAAGCAAGAAACTTAACTTTAAATTTCCCGCCAGTTTCATTTGTTTTGATATAATAAAGTTCTTAGAAAAATGGCGGAAAACAAGGTATTTATAAAATCATCAACATTTGTTTTTCTTTAATAACTTCCAATACCGCAGGAGACCGCAGTAATCATTTTATATTTCTAAAGTAGAAATGTTAATTAACTGGAAAATATATATATATATTTGTGGAACTCGGTGGAACATTTTTTTATCTGATATATAAACAAAAAAAATACAATTATTTGCTACTTGTTTTTAGAGAAGTCTTTAATTTTTAACGAAAAAATCAGACTTTTTTTTTCTTTTTAGTATATTTGAAATATATAGTCAAAATATTATTTAAAAAATAAATATACACTTTTATTTAAATTTCAAGTTCTCTAATTTAGTTGAATAAAAAC